AAAGTTTTTTTCCCAGGACATGTCTGAAAAGTGGTGTGGTTAAATGCATGGAAAATCCTGTCTTTCCCAAGTGGCTCATCTCGGCTGAAAAAATGTATGATGGGAGGCAAGAGAGGGGAACAGGGGCTATGGGATGGGGAAATAGTTGAGGGGTGTGTGTGTGTGTGTGTGTGTGTGTGTGTGTGTGTGTGAAAGAGAGAAAACACCGGGGGCGGGGAAGGCAAGGAGGTTTGAGTAAGATGTGGATGGACAGATAGAAAGAGAGTGTTTGAAAGGCCCAAACTGCTCTGACGACAAACACACTCATGATGAAATCATCGGGACTTCCTACAGTGGCAGCCGAGCTAAGCTTCAACCAAATCTTTACCAGCACTAAACATGCGCACATGTATGCAAATGCACACATAAAGTGCCTTTTTTTTCCAATCGATTATTCTCAGACTGTGTGTTTTTGCCCTGAAAGTCCCCTTGTTCATCAATCCAGCATGTGATGCACATCATGTTTTTGTAACAGGGCCAGGAGCGTCAGAATAATCGATCTCAGATTAGTACATTTCTGACCCTACAGTAGAACTGCTGCTCTTATTCATCGCTGACTCGATCATTACAGCATTGAAACCCCCCCCCCCCCCCCCATGGATGTCCAAAAAATCTGGACAAATATTTTCTAAGGAAATAATGAAATTCCTGAAATTATTAGGAAGAGGGACCTTATATCATCTGTTCTCTCTCACCCTCTCTCCTTAGACCTGGCCCCAGTCAGTGCCCCCACTTGCTCTCGCGTAGGCTTGAAGAAAGCATTTGCTACACTGAATCCTTTATTCAAAACGTCTGTTTTGAGGGAACGCTGCGTCTTCACTAAGCAGCTCCCTGTCCAACTTGTGATTTGAGGCAGAGCGACTCCTCCAAAAAAAGGTTGTAGAGATGTTATAAACCATTTCATGTAGCTGCATATGAAATGTACATCGGTGGTAACCTTAGCTGGCTTGTCGCACAGCGGGGAATTAGCTCACTGGTGTAAATTTTTCCAGAACATTGCCAAACACCAGTGTTACTTTTAAATTGCTTCCTTTAAGCTACATTGAACATACGCAATGAGACAGCTTGGTTTTTCACTCATATTTTAATATTTTATGCAGACGTTTGCTTTTGAAACATAGACCTATTAGCCAAAGAACAAAAAAAAAAGAGAAAACATTGGCGCAGCTGGCTGCCTTTTTAAGGCTTATTTAATGAATTTTAAAAAATGCTGAGTACAAATAGATTCTGCAGGTCTTATAATGTAGTTCAGCATTTGAGTAGACGCCAAATAAAATGGTCTAATGATCTAATAAAATAACAGAGGCAGTGACTGAAATTTCTCTTATATATTGAATGAAAACTGGCCAGGCTTAACACTGAGCCTGATGTGGTACCACTCACACAGTTGCATGTCTTTTGGCAACCAGATGCTCCACTATATTTAGCTGAAATCCCAAGATGTCAAATTAGATCTCTTCCACTTTCAGCTGCTTTTTTGTGGTTATTGCTTTTGTTATCACAGAGCCATTAATCATAGGCTAAGTTGTGTTGCATGTCAGTAGGTCTCGCTGAATGCAGTTTTTTTAGAGAATAGTTTAAGAAGTATTTCACTGCTGGAAAGATGGTCTTTTCATAAAACTAGGCTGCTAAATACTTTTGAAATTGGTGCTACATGACCAGAGAAAACGAAGGGAAAAGGGCTGTGGCATTTGCTTTTGCTCAAGAGGTAGAAAACCTACAACTAACCAGAATGCACTGCTGCATCAGACCAATAAACACTCCTGCTGGTGGGTGAGGTAATGCAAGCTTGGTTGTTAATCCACTGGTAACAATATGGCAGCTGACAGGTAATGAACGATGTGATTTACAAAGCTAAAATATGTTTCTGAAAACATTTCAGTGGAGAAACAGGAACGTAGTGACAGAATCTAAGTTCCTATTTGATCAACATTGCTCAGTTTTACCATTTGATCTCAGTATTTTCAGCCTCCAGGAAACAGGAAGCCACTTCTCGTTCACAAATTCTCATATTACAGCCAAACAGTGCACTAAAATATGTCTCTGAAGACATTTTAGCTGAGAAATAGGCAATACAGTGACAGAATATTGGTTTATATTTGATCAGTGCTGCATAATTTACAGTTTGATCCAAGTTTAGTTTAAGTTTGAAAGAGGGAGAGATCTCTCCATCTGATTCTTAACTCTTTGTGTCTGTGGTGGTGGGCACGAAAATGCGGAAGTACAATCTGTATTTCGAGCAACAGCCCTAGAGCCAGCAAAAATCTGCTGGATGACGCAAAATCCATCTGATTTTAGCTGGGAGATGAACGGGAAGATCTGGGTGCTGGTATGATGGAGGGAAGTTTACCACGGTTCATTTACACATACATACAAAGCTGGTTGAAAATCAGCAAAGAATCCCTTTAAATGACAGAACAATGTGTAGACTATACTGTCAGTGAGTCAGTGCTGTCAGCTTGTACACAAAAGAAATCAAATCAAGTGTCTTTCAGTGGAACTGTACACCCACATTATGACTTTACAGCATTTCAATACATAGTGTAAATATACTTTTATTTTGAGTCAGCTGTTGAGTGGGAGAGCAAATATAAATAGCACACTCCAGGATTCTGCACTTCACAAAGGTATGAGTCTTTGAAATTTTTGCTTTTATCCTTATATTTACCTGAGTTCACCTAAGTGGGACAAATGTGATGTGCTCTTTAAAAAAAAGCACGATATTTACTCTTACAAAATGATAGCACAAAATAAAATTGCATGTACTGTATGTTGAAAGTATAATGGAAAAGGATTATTTTACTATTGACATGGCGTCTATTTAAGATTAATTTCCAAATGTGCCATAAGTATCTAGATGTTAAGTTCATATAAGTGCAAATTAACATTGCAAAATAACTGTAGCAACTCAGATATGACCACTGTCACTGATGGCACACAAAGTGCCATTCCTATTCTTTATCTCATTTTAATATTGCCATAACTTATGAACTATTAAAGACATGGGGTACCATTCACAAAAGCGTGCCAACAGTGTGAAGTTTAGAGATTACAGTGTGTTATTTTACAAGTTAGTACACATTAAAGCAAAGAAAAGGAACAGTGAAATCACTCTGTGTACTCTTCTGCTGTGAGGAAACTGTATGGGCTCAGGTGCAGTAAAGTTCTGTTTTATTGCACTTAATGATCTAAGCACATACAAAATTACAGTACAAAACATGAGGCGGGCAAGTGGGTCACTCAAACTAGGTCAAAACATTTGAAGAGGATCTAATTTGTGATAGTAGGACCAGTGTCATGTTTTGTTTCTGATTAAGCCCTGTTTTCATATCCATTGCGTTTCTATTTCCAAAGCCTTTTAAAGCCAAAAGAAGAAGAATAAACTATCACTTCAGCATATGCAACAGATTATTGACTCTTCAAAGAGATGACTGAGCTTGTTGATGCTGTTTGCCAGGACCACCAGCCAGGCTCATAGAGAAACACTTGTTTGATGTGTTCATAAAATGAATGACAGTTTCACTGCTGGAAAGATATCTCATTGTGTTGAATGATTGCAGTCATTAGTGCTGCCGTTAGTATCCCCAGGGCCAAAAAAACATTGTGTCATTGATAGACAACAATTAACTGAAGCGTCAGGCGTACTTGAATGAGTCAGACTGATCTGAGATGCTTTCAGAAAAACAATGTTTAAACACCTTTTGTGCCGTAGATGCAACCCAAATAAAGAAACAAACAGAAATGGTGTTGCTGCTGGGACAAAGTAGCTCTGTTGCATGGCCACGCTAGCACCTCCTCATATATAATACAATATTGTGCATATTTAGGGTCGGTTTGAAGATTTGAATATGTGATATCAAATGCATATAAGACAGCCAAGCAGTAGTCATTCTCTGTTAATGTCACACTGGAGTCCATTCGAATAAAAAAAACGTGTCATTTTACTGCAGTGCAGCCAGTAAGACCATGAAAAAAAACATTAAGCAATTTTACAAAAATGTCCAAAAATCTCATATTATTTTTAGTCCCACTGGTAAAATGGATTTTTTCCCACCAGCTCCTTTTTGGTCCTTGCCATGACATCATCTTACTGTATGTTGAAACAAAGTGCACTCAAGAGGATTGTCACAGACACACAAACTATTGTAAAAACAAAAGTATTGTATTGGTTACTGCATGATTCACTGTCTTACAACATAAAACATCTGACATCATCATGCACACAAAAACATCGCAGCTTGGAATTTGGTATCTCCACAAATGAGAACTCCAAAAGCGTTATACGCCCATAGTTGCATATTTGGGGTAATTGTACTGTTTATTTTCCTCTTGCACTTCCCAGACAACATCAACAACATGATGTGTAATCCCCCTTTTTATTACACAAGTGTAAATGAGGACGGACTGCAATGAAATTGAATGGAAAGAGAAGAAATGATTTGATTGGTCAAAATTAATACCAGCCGGATCACAGTTATTTATCCTTATCTGACACCATTCATAACCGCACTGCAGGTGCACAATCACTGTGCCAGGATTTCTCAACAAAATTACCCAAAATCTGTTGGCCATGTCCAAGTGAAAATGTTCTTCTCAGGCAGAGCAAAGAGAGGAGTTATATTATTTATTTGGGGAATATTGTTTAAGAAATGCCAACTGGTTTCAACCTCACGGGGTCAATTATTCCCATTCAACCCTCATTCTATTAGTTTAAGGGCCATTGCTGTTGCCAAAAGACTTTAAAGAAAGTCAACAGGGACCTCATTCTGAGCTGTCATCCTGAAAGATAGCACTACGTAAGCTCTTTTTGGCCAGGAACACTGTTGTTATTTGTACAAGTTTGCCTTGGTGAAATCTGCCTTCACTTGGAAGAGACTCCCCCTCATTGTAGGGCCATTAACTTAATTTGAAATACTCTTTTTTTTTTCTTTTTTTTTTTTTACTTGTTTTTCATTTTCCAGAGCCTATTTGGATGTGAAAGAGCTGAAAGAGATTCTGCATCTGGATGGCTCAACTCACCTGAATGTCTTCTTTGCCAATTCTTCTGATGAAGATCTGGCTGGGGTTGCCACTTGGCCCTGGGACAAAGAGGCCCTCACACATTTGGGTAGAGGACAAACAACAACACATACATGCATGCATGCACACTCACGTGCACACACATCCCCTCTTTGGCAGCCCAGATTGTTGATTTGAGTAATTACAGTTCAAGCCCCAAGCAGTTTCTCTCTTCATCACAGCTCTAACAGGGAAGAAGGTGATAATGAAGCCGAAGAGGCCCATTAATTATGCATTGTCTGAATTTTACTCCACTTCCACAATTACTTTACACTACACTAGGAGGAGGCCGTTGTGTGTGCACACTCACTTGAGTGTCTGTACTGTTTACTTCATGTGTTTGTATTTTTTCAGGTGGGATTGTGCTGAACCCCTCCTTCTACGGAACATTTGGCCACACTGACACGATGGTCCATGAAATCGGACACAGTCTCGGGCTTTACCACGTGTTTCGAGGTATATCAGAGATCGAGTCGTGCAATGACGCGTGTTTGGAGACTGAGCCCTCAATGGAGACTGGAGATCTGTGTGCCGACACCAACCCCACTCCCAAATACAAAGGCTGCCATGATCCTGAACCCGGCAATGAAACCTGTGGCTGTCGGCATTTCACACACACACCGTTTAACAACTACATGAGTTATGCAGGTGAGACGGAGCCTCCGCATGTGTTTTTTATCCAGGGCAAAACGCTACAGTTATACCTCTCACATGAAACTGACACACAGAGATCACCGTAGAGGAATTTGTTGAGTCTGTGTGCACACTGAGAAAGGTGTGGAATTTAGCGGGGACGTTTCATGGGAAAAACACAGCGGGGGGCACATCCTTTCATGTCACTCGGGCAAAAGTTGAAACGTTTTTTTGTTGTCATAGTTAAATGGTAAAACACAAACAGGTGGTTGAATTTCTTCATGGAATTGATTTACATCCTTCTCCTGTCACTGTTCAATCCAAAATCTGCACCCCTCACACTGACCACCTACCTCTGTTACCTGAAGACGATGCCTGCACGGACTCCTTCACCCTGAACCAGGTGGCTAGGATGCACTGCTACCTGGATCTCATCTACCAGACCTGGCAACCTGCCTCCAAACCTCCGCCAGTGCCAATGCCACCCCAAGTGGTCGAGCAGCATCATAATTCCATCACCCTGGAATGGTTTCCTCCGATTTCTGGACACTTTTACGACAGGTGAAATGAGCTACATAGGTTGCCAAGCAGATGTGGGTGTGTATGGTAATAAAGGTGATAGAGGTTGATTTCACTATAAATTATTGTTTGACTTAATATGGCAAATAGTATAATTAAATGTTTAATTATTTTTTTAAAGACTAAAACACCCATAGGTGAGCCAAATAATTAGAAGCACCATCTTAAAACTTTGTTAAACTCCGATCATTTGACCTTATTGTCAACACCGTATCTTTATATATTGTATAAATGATGTGTTTTTGGCCTGTATCTAAGTTGGCTGCTGTGTCTGTCTGTTGGTTTCCTAGAGAAGTGGGATCAGTGTGTGATAAATGCACTGAGGGGAGAGTTCTACTGCAGTATGCCTCCAACTCCTCGTCCCCACGACCGTGTGCCCCATCTGGACACTGGTCCCCACGAGAGGCTGAAGGTACAGTACGATATTATTGACTATACTTAGTGGTTGGTAGGTTTCATGGGAGTGAACACTGTCATTGCATGGTTGTTGTTGATGCACTAATTGGACAGGTGTGGCTCAAGTGTAGTATGCTTATCATAATTAAAACAAACATGTTTTCTTCCTCATCCCTCACTCTGCACTGAACCTACTATTTCCTTGATTATAATGAGCTATTCCTACTATAAGCTGATTTAAAAGCAAAACCACATTCACCTTTAACCCACAGCTTACAGTATGATAACGTGATTTGAGGTTTGCCTTTTGTTTATTTTGTGAGTCAATATACGGACATGCAAAATATTTGGTGACTGACTCAACCTCAAAACATGCAAATGACTCACTGGATTCTTGACACTTGGGCCGTGGGACAACATGGAAGGATCAAGGAGGTCGCTCCCCAATGGATGGTGCTGTATGGTACTACAATTCCCATATGAGGGCTCAGGCCCAAAACTAAGGTTAAAGATCAGCTGTAATTCCCCTTTTTTAAAATTTGAGTTAGGGACCAAGGTAGTTAAGTTATAAAAATAGTTTTCCCTTCTGTGCAACTCTGATCACTCTGGTGCTAGTAGTGGCAGCATCAGTAATACTGGATATTATGCATGTGATTATGTGCAGCTGTGTGTGCATTATGTTGTTCTCCCATATTATACACTGTCTAATAAACCTGTTAATAAATGTATTGGAAAAACCCCAAGTAGTTACATTAGACACCATGCTCTGCAAGGTTGTATTCTTCAAATCTCTCAGGTGTAGCAGCGTTTAGGTAGCCTGGAAATCCAGACTCAAATCTATAAAGATTTTGAGTCTGGCCCTCACCGATACACCCTTCCTACCCAAGGGGCGGCACTAACTGAGGCATATTAAATGCCGCCACATGCAAATGGGTAGCACGATTGCCAATCGGAGCAAAAAACAAGGCGACATATTCATTGCAGTGAGCCCCATTTGTTTGCAGACCAGTGGGGCTAACTGATATAATCTGCTTTTGCCGTATCCTGTCGGCAAAACAGCAAAAACGTCCTTCCTGGAAACGAAGGCTTCTAGGGCAGTCTTCTGTTTCTCTCTCAAAGAAAAAGATAAGCGTAGTTGGCTTAGCGTTTCTTCCAAAGCTAAACTGAATGGACGCGGTCCTTCGGCAGCTGCCATCTTGGCTGTTTACTTTTAGACTCCTACAGTGCAGCGCTGTCCTCATCATGTTAAGCCAGCCCAGAGCCCGCCTCTGTCAGATAGACTGATCTGATTGGTCTGAGTGGAGATTCAGCGGGCTCTGCTCGTCGGGGCCAGATCCCCATGAAGAGCAAATTTGAATTTGCTAGGGGCGGGGCATCTGGATTTCCAGGTTAGCATTTAGGACATTTTTTTCATGAAACCTGTTGCTTTAAGAGCGTGTTGCATTATGGGTTGTTTGTTGCATTAATATTGTTAGGCTAGCCAATTAACAGTTGCTTCTTAAAGTCAAGAATGCTTCCTTGGTAGGACGAATGCTTCCAAGTCGTATCCTACAGAGGCTAGGCAAAACTCCCTCCTAGCATTCGGTCAAAGAACGTTAGAACAGGCTAGCAAGTGCCCAGGTGTGCGTCATTGAAGAGGAGCCACCTTCAATTTTGGCAAACCCTGCACAAAGAACTGTGGGTACTTCATGCCCACTGAGCATACACACATGCATCCTTGAAAATTCTCTGAAGGAAGGACTCCATCCTTGGTAGAATTCGAAGGATCCTTGACAGTGGAACAGTCCTTTGGCTGGATTTGATGACGTAGTCTTTCAGCCAGTCAGCCATTTCCCTTGACTCTGAGAAAGCACCACCTGTCTGTCTACAATGTGTGCAGTACAGGCCCCCAGGAAGTGTGCTGGACTTTTAAGTCTATTTCACATTGTGACTACAACCGCAGCAAAATGACCCATTTCACTATCAGTAGTTCATTCATTTGGTCTGATAACATTTCGGACTTACACTGGTCCTTACACTGGTCCTTGCAACCATCCTTCTTATCTTCCTGGTGCTTCCACTGTGATTAGTACCAGTGATGGCATAACAAAAACATAATAAAAAAAGTAACATTTATCCTAAGCTAGTCAAATGTGAGCTCAACTTAAAAAAATCTACATAACCATAGGCATGCACACAAATACCATCTGGCACAAGTGAAATGCACATACATTATCTAATTCTGTACACACACACACACACACACACACACACACACACACAAAGGTGTTAGCATCTGTCCATCTGTTATACTAACCTGTACATATTGTGCCAATACCCAAGAATAAATGTGATGTGTAATGTGGGTAATGGTGTTGTCTGCTCATTGCCATGTTGTTGCTTCTTACCATCTATTTCTATATTTGTGATGGGATCAGTGGTAATGGTTGCTAGATAAAATCAGGACACTAACAGCACACAGACAGACAAAATACAGCAGCACAGCACGACAGTAGTATTGTGTAAAACATGGTTAAGACAGCCCCCGCTTGGATTTTGATGTGCGTCTGTTGGTGCTGTACGGTACTGGTACAAATGAAATTATCAGCAAATTTGATAAAAGAGTTGGCTGAATGTGACCATAAGTATTTTCCCCATACATCACTGTAAAGGGAAAGTTATAGCCACACATGAAAATGTCCTAAATTTTAAACGCATTATTTGAATAAATAAATGTTTACCATCGGAGTTCTTTGCAGTTTTCAGTCTAATCCTGTTCAGGGTGACCCTGACTATGATCATGTAAAATCTAAGTAACACACGCATTGAAAACAAGAGGAAAAACATTGCGGCAGTTGATATTGTTTCGGTCAGATCTGGCTGTAGACAGACACAATGACAAATACGACCAAATGATGCAGTAAAAAATGTTTTGTCGCTTTGTCTGAATGAATTTCTGTGTGTGTGTGTGTGTGTGTGTGTGTGTAGATTCTCTAGAGTCTATAGATTCTAAAGTCACTGAACCTTGCCTTCACACTGGCTAGTGTATGTACCAGAGGCAAGTCTGGGCTTGTCTAACATGCTGTGTGTGTAAACTGTACTCTATTTTCCCTCTTGGAAGGGGTCCCTGTTTGTGGCAGCTCCCCATTCCCTGTAACCTCTGCTTGGGCCAGCTTCTCACTGGATACTACAGCTGCTGCTTCCTGCTGTGATGGTGCATATGTGTCCAGCAGTTACTAACTTCCAACAGAAACTCTGGCAAACTACTACTCTCAGATACTGTAAAGTATTGGCATATTAACTATTGGCATAACTTCCTTATATTGGAAGATAAGTGTGTTAACACACACTCTGACTGTGCATGTGTTCATTCATCAGCATTAATGCATGCACATGGCACCTGTTATTTAAGGACTTGCTGTGTCCTCACAGTACTTGACTAGGAAACACTGGCGTGGTCAGAGAGAGCCCGAGTACCTCTCATAAATCTTTACTACTCTATGCCCGGGAGAAATATGGCTGGAGGGAAAAAAGCAAGAATGAAAAAAAGGCAAAAACACACACATGGATATGGATTCAGGGAGGGGGTAAGAGAGGTTGGGTGGGGTGGAAACCACCCAAGATAGTTAGGAGAATTGCATGTGGTTAGTGACATTCACAAGGGAGGATCCTGGGTTGATTGAAAACAGCAGTGTGCATGAATGGAAGTGAAAGGTCCGGGATGTGTATGTTCACCAACATATGTGTGGGAATGTCTGTGTGCGTAGCTCTATGTAAATACACATTCCTGTTATTTTGTATGTATGCATGGAACTGCACTTACAAAATAACACTCTTCACATTTGCAATACATGGAATGTACAAAATGTCTGCTTGCGTGTAAATATGTATGGATTTACTCAATGAGCCTTAACAGCAAGCATATGTGTGTCAGGGTTTGTCTGCCATGCTTTGCAATCCGAACATGGTTAATTAACTGATATGAACAAAATATGTGTAATTGTTACATAATGCGTGACATACATCATAAAGTCAGATTTTTTTTTAGTAAATCTCTTGTAATGCATATTGCCATCATGTAGCCACATTCTCTCAGAATGCACTTTAAACCATTTGGCTCATCCATTGGTTTCAACAATCATAACCACATTATTTTATTGTGTACTTCCTGGTAGCAGTTTAACTGTTCTTACCTGTCTCATTAATCATCTAATTCCTTTGGATATGCGACAAAGTACCCCTGATTTTGAACAGATAAATTTGTGACAGAGATCCCCTTTACACTTTTGATTGAGATGCGTCTCGTATCCAGATTGTATCTAGATATTATTCAACTTTAATACAGTTACACCTGCTGTTAATATGTGAGATCCGATTGAAATTTGATCGCTCTGTCCAGCTCAAAAAACCCAAACGGTTGTAGCCATCGGCCAAACCTTTGATTACCCATTGCTTAATAAACAGCACAGTTACGATATAATTTGCTGTGTTTCGTTGGTATACTTTCATTGGACCAATCTGAAAGTAGACACTGGTCTTGTTTTGACTCTGGTCCATGAAGAATGCCCTGCAGCTCCAGCAAAGCTTGGGGCCCGTATTCCAACCATTGAGGGAAAGCCGTGTCTACCTGTTTTGGAACAATCGCATGCGATTATGTATATCCGCCCACTTAGTTGGTTGTATGTGGATTGAAAATGGAACTGCAATTACACTTGTGGTCAATGTGGTCACAATTCGTCCCTGACCACCTGTGGAGATGGTTTGGCCGATCAGATCACAATCCATTGTCAGTGACTTTTGGGTGCATTTATACCTGTACCTCCATGTGGTCAAGCACCATCTGATTGCAAACTGATCACTCAAAATGATTTAAATGAAAAGCGTAAAGGGGGTCAGAGAATCAGACATGTTGATGTGATCTCTATGTTTAATGTATCACTCATTCTGATCCATTGCTATTTCACACCATGAGGCTACACTAAAACCCAACACTTGATCAAAGGAAAAGATTGTTGTGCCTTTACCTCCCAAGATCAACACTGGCCATGCTTGAGAAAGTTACCTTCAAAGCTCACTTCAAAAAGTGACTCACTTTCACCTCACTAGGGGTTGACATTATGCACCATGTAAACCACAGTCAACAATTGTTCTTAATCATTGGGTTTGTTCTTGTACGCTTGTCATTAAAAAGCAAGATAATATTCAAGGATACTTTTATCTTCAAATTTATGTTCTTGCAGTTTGATACCATCCACTTCTGGTCCTTACCTTTCTACTCAATGATTTCCCATGGCTCCTTTCATCAGTTTGTCACAGTACCGTATGGTAGCTCCTCTTTTTATTTAATCAGGCAAAAGAATCTGTAGTGATGTGTACCTAAAAGTAGCACCTGTATCAACTGCTCCATGTGTAAAAAAAAAGGGAAAAGAAATACCAGCTGCCAACAGCTATGACGGATTAACCTCTGAAATACCCTGAATGCAACGTGATGTGACATTGATTCCCAGGCTGTAGAGTGTCTGTTGCCTTCATAAAGTGTGTCTGTGAAGTGTCTCTCTGTTTGTGTGTGTGTGTCAGGGCAAAAGGGTTGGAGGGGGTTGATGTCTGCCTTTGGAGTGAGGAAGTGTGTAACAGTGTGTGACAGTGAGTCATCGATAGTGAGAGCCAGAGCCAGACACTTCTTAGAAAGCATAAAGCGTGCATGCCCGGACATATCCCTGTCTGTTTATTCATCCGGCTCTCTGGACTTTTTGTGGATCAGTATGATTCTCCAGAGCAGAGGGATTATGGCTGGATAGTGGGCAGGCACCAGCATCTATCCTGGAGTTATACTCCGCCGACTAGTCATTTTTCTGTAAGTTTTATCGAACATTGATTATCCTTGTTTCAGAAGAGCACACTATCAGTAACTTTTCTTTACCTGTGCATGAAAAAGGTTAATCTTGAATGGCAGGCACAGTTGCTGGTTTTGGAATTCCCAGATGTCTGATGTTGATTGGATAATTGTTGATTGGGGGCTGAAAAGTGGCAGAAAGGTAACCCCAGCCAACCCCACTGCCAACCAATATGTTTAACCCTTAAAGGAAAAAAAAACTTTCAAGGATAAAAATAAAGCTACATGTTCGATATTAGGGCTTTATGAAATAATGAATCCCCCTCATGCAAATACCTCCACACATTCAGTCCTGGTAGATTACTTTGTAACATGAGTGCTATGTTTCTACTTTACCTGGCAATCATCGCAATGAATGATAAATGATTGTCACTGTAGTTACTTTCCAGAGTTTAAAGATCTTGTCTTATAGTACTGTCTTTAAACCTAACCTTCAAACTAGAGGTCTTTACAGGCCCTCCAGAACGCTATGGGGCCCAAGTTCTGGCCCAGGACCAGAAAGGGTTCCGGTCAACTTTTTATTATGGTCAGATGATCTGGATCGGCTCCTATTCGATCCAAGAATTCCCATGCTTTAACTGAAGTAGCCCACCTGATTTCTGTTTAATCTTTTCACTGGCATCTGAAACAATATGATCCCAGACAAGGCAGCACCTTACATTTTTTTAAACACAGGACTGTTTTTGGTTTGAATGCCCACTTAGAGACTCTCAGGTGAGCGTCCCCAGTTTTATGGTGTGATTAAAGCTGCATTGATTGATTTCTTGCGTCTGTGGGGGAGAAAAGTATTATAAAGGCTGACAAATACACAGCTCCCATCATATCCCAGGTCACCAAGAGCAGTCCTGGGTTGTGCATGAATTGGCCATAGTAAAGTCTCTGGCCCAGTAAGACTTGCTATACATAACCCCTGCCATCTTTTCTGAGATAATTATCAGAATATAAAACTTTTGAATGAGAAAAAACTTTCTTACAAGCTTTGTAATTTATTTATTTTTCTCTCCCATGTCTACGCATTAATGCGTAACAGTCAGGGGACATGGAGGCTCACCAGCCACCTGATTATCCGCAATTCAGTTGTAGTCATTGTACTCTGAAAACAGCAGTGAGCTTCCTTTCCATGAAGGATACCAAAACTGATTCCCAAAATTCCAATGTGGTGTACTTATGTCCATTTAGTCACATTTGCCCAGACCTTAACCTATGTTCATGACACACTGGACAGCTTTGAGATAACAGCGATAATGTTTTTTGCTGAACCTAGCACCAGTTACTCTACTGCAGTGATGCCTGATGTATTTCACTAATTTTTTCTTAGAATGGGTGTTTTTGTTGCCAGACTAATACCCAGATGGGATCAGCTAATCAACAGTGAATGAATGGCTCATATTCAAAACTTAGGTCTGGATGGTTTCGTCACCTTGGGGCCACCTCTCCCTGTACATAGGGAATTATAGGTCAAACACTTTCGAGATTTTTTTTGGGCAGCTGTGTGCTGCTGTGAATTTTAGAAGACGGAGACACTGATATGGAATTACATATTTATCTTTTCATTGTGAATTTTGATGACTTGTTGAAGGCATCTACAACTAAGCATATAAATATAAATCATTGCGGTTTCGATGTTGGATTTAAACCCTTAGCTTGCACAGATCGTTCTGCTAATCACAGATATATCTTCGCATCTTTAAAAGACAGTTTATGTTGCCTCAGGTTACACAGTGGATGACACTCCTATTCTGTCTCCTCTTAAATCTCAAACCACATTAGCAACAGTGCCAGAGCAGGAGTAGGGCCCATCATAACAGCTGACATTACAAAATATTTTCAGTGGCTGCAGCTCCTTTCCTTGCAAACTCAATGAAAATGTACCCAGAAAGCTAGGACTACATAAGCCGAGCAAAGCCAAGCTCTTGGAGTATCTTAGTTCATTCTCTCCCAACCTCCCCCCGTCTTTCTCCCTCCCTCTCTTTCTCTTTCTCTTTCTCTTTCTCTCTGTCTCTCTTTCTCTTTTTCTTTAATTCACCTCCACTCTGGCCACACACACACACTTACAGTACAATAATAAATGTGTTGAGATAATGTGGCTTGGAGACCATATTCAGTCCTCACTTGATTAAACACTGGAATTTTGCACGGTGCCCAGAAATGAGGTTAGCAAATGGCTTCGTTGGTTGCCAGCTTGGAAATGCACAAAAGGAAATCGAGGGAGAACATAGTGTCTGCTGCTTGCTGGCTTCTAAAAGTGCTTGATGAATGTTAATGTACGTCACTTGGGATAATGCGAGTTAGCTGTGTGTGGACTCCAAATATGGCTGGAGTGTGACTGTTAGAGGTTGTAATGACTGTGCTGAAGTGAGAACCCTGCACAGGCCCCTCTCAGAAGGTACACACCTCAGCTCTGCCTTTCCTCTGCAGATGGACTCACAATGAACTCTCAGTTTCACCTCTACCTTGATGTTGCAAGAAACGTTGATACACTAAAAAGATCAGTGATGCAAATTCTTGATCTGTCAGCACTCAAAAAAATGCCTTTTGGCTTTAGAATTTAGGAAAAAATGACTAATTTACCTGTTCAGATGATTTTTTTTGCATCCTTTGAGTAAATTCAAGGACCTGGAAATTGAAATATTTGCGTTCATTCCAACACGTCTTTATGTCATTTCACAATCATTCATTATGCTAACATAGGAATTCGCCAGGCAACTTTTTGGTTATTGTGTCTGATTTATGTTTAATGTCATTTTGTTGTATCTGTCTTGAATCCACAGGCCCTCCAGATGTGGAGCAGGCTTGTGAGCCAAGCGTGCGCACCTGGAGCCCAAATGCAGGGAATGAGCAAGGTGTTGTCGGCCTGTCGGAGTGCCCTCTCCAGGGCTGCATGCTTCAGCTAGAGTTCGCCTACCCACTGATACCAGACTCCCTGACTGTGTGGGTCACCTTTTTCAGCCCCGAGGAAACGGCACTTCCAGCTATCCATAACATCTTGCTGCTGACTGTCAGTGGGAACAACATTTCATTGGGCCCCAGCAATGTCTTCTGTGATACCCCACTGACGCTGAAGCTGGACATAGAGGAAGAGGTGTATGGGGTACAGTTTTTTACCATGGAGCAGCACCTAGAGATTGATGCCACCCTCTTGGCATCCAAGCCAGACTGCATACTTTGTAGGCACTGCCAGCCACTACGCTACCGCCTGTTGCGCCAACCACCCTTCACCCATGCACCACATGGTCTGATGTTGAATGAACCTACCCGCCGATATACAGACAGGTGAGTGACCGGGTAGGTGAATATTTTTGTATGACTGACTGTTTCAGCATCATGTGTAAAACTCAATATGTCCTCCCTGAGTTGGTAAATCTTTAAATAACAATACATTGGACATGCTTTAGATTGAAACAATTGATTTCAATCAAAGCTTTGTCTTTTATAAGTTGAGAGTTGCTGAGTGATTACCATTGAGCTTCCTGCTTCAGTGTGATGTAATGAGGGTTTTTTGGACATGCCAGTAAGAAGGTGTTTATTTATCTGTGGAAATGATCCACAAAAATATGTTCTTAGGATGCCAGATATCCTTTTCAACCCCCCTAGGAGCACTAGCAAGCCACCACCGCTTCTGGAGTTTCAAATCTACTGCCCAACATTTGTTTCCTAAGTCACAGGTCAGTCGTTGCCCACATTTGTTTTTTCCCATGTTCCATGAAGCAAGGGCAAACAGATGGCTTGTTAAAGGTATTATCTGCACACTGTGGTGAGAGTTTAGTGCTTTGCTTTCATGGAATGTGCTGACTCGATAAAGATTGTGCTATACATGGCACCGCTGCGTGTTGTGCCATCTCACTATCGTGCTGTCAGCGTGGTTCACATGAGAAGGAAAGTGCTTGATAAGAGGCGAAAGGGTGAGTATGCATGTTATGCAAGATGGAATGATGATACCTAAGTTCCACAAAGTGTCCGTACACAACTTCCTGGTTGAATGGCTGCGTCTGTGGAAGGCTGTCTGCAGTAGGGATGTATTTTATTTGGGGGTTTTGGCACACTTGAGTGATTATTGATGTACTGTAGGTAGTTTCACTGCTGTGGTATATTTCACTAGCTGCGGTCGCATTCCAGTGGTAGTGGTCAGTGGCACTGGCTGACTATTTTCTGTTGTGAGAGCATATGGGATCTTGTCTCTGTTAAATGGTCAGATAAGTTTTATAGCAAGTTAGTATGTGTGTTCCAGTCTTTTTCTTTTGGAATTTTTTTCAAAGCATTTACCTAAAAACTGTTTTGAAGAAAACATAAAAACTTGAATTCTTAAAAACATAACAAGAAGAAAAAAAAACATTGAGAGAAAGCACACTAAAGAGATAGTTTGCTTTTTTCTTACTTTTGCACATGGATATTAACCTTTATATCACTATGCTCTGGGTTCTGCTTACAAATCATGACGCTACTCAAACCAAATAAGTAAAATGCAGTGGGGTTTCACTGCATAGTACCAATACAGCATTCTTCAACAAACAAATAATTCTAACAGAAAGATATGTCCAACAGGAGAACCAAGAGTGCAAAATTTGTGAGTGATTGTAGGATTATGTGATGTGAGTTTGATGGCTAAGATAACGACCCATCACCCTCACTGTCGACAACAAACATAGCCTTTGACATGGTGGAGTAAAGAGCAAAGTTCACTCAGATGTTTTGGCGTGCCACAAATCCAATGTGAAGTGCTCTGTTTGATCGCCTTGGTGCAGCTGCTAAAATGCTTTTGTTGACCACACAGTAAGTTGCTTCTTCTTGCAACATGTTTCCATGGGGTTGGCTACAGTGATGGAGGTCCTGGTTGAGGGGGCTGATTGACCTCCAGCTGTCAGGCCACTGGCCTTCACTTGAGCTGGGGTAAACTGAGCAAGAGGACAACTGACATCTTGGCTCCATCCATGGGTGGTAGTTAGTTTGGAATGGCTGAGGGCTTGGAGGTCAGGTAAATTATGCTGGGGAGAAAGAAGGGTCAAGTGAAGAGGAGACACGGAGGTGGAAGGCTGAACCAGTTGGGGGTAAATCATTGGGGGCCAATAGGTGATGGAGGAGAACATTAGGGGGTCGAAAAAGTATGAAGAGAGGGTTGGAGGATTGGGTTAATGTGACCCCATCCCCCTGAGGTTCCCCAGCCCATCGGCTAATCCTCTTCCTGATGTGGGCTTCAGAGCTGTCATTCAGTCAAAGCCTATCTCGGAGCTGATGTGAAGAGACCTCCCAGCCAAAACAGAGAGAGGGCAACTCCCTATACCCTCTGTAATCTGACTCTACCCTGGTTCTGCACAACTCTTCGACATTATACCCCCCATCCATCCTTAAGTTACTCTGCTGCTGAATAAAAGTCAGTCTACATCATGTCTCATCTTAAAACAGAGATACTGGGTTGGCTTATATATATGCTTTTTTGAGCTATACACATTTTGGCTAATTGGTAAAAATAGAGCTACACTCTGGCAGTCATCATTGTGAGAATCCTCTACATGTATCAAAAAGGTACCAGTATACTCTGACACAGCTCTAAATCTACAATTTACGTAACTTTCCGAAACTGACAATATGACATTCACATCCATTTCACACTATGACAGGCCAGGTGTGTGACAGTGGTTGTTTCAATTTGTTTTTTCATGCTTTACACAACTATTTCTGTTACTTTTAGTGTATAAAAATCAGTGCAAGACTATGAATGCCCTCCAGGAGAGACTATCTGAAAATTGGTGGCCATTCGCAACAGCTATAAACATTTTTGCCTACCGACGTGCTGGACGGCGTTCAAGTTTTTTTTTTAGCAAACTGCAGCCTTAAAGAAATACGTATCCCCCCAAATAACAATTTGCATATCATTCACATGTTATGTTGAATTTGTGAAGTTGCAAAAAGTTTTTGTTGCATACTTCTGTTGAATAAAGAATCCAGAAACACAGACAATTCTCGATGAATTGAACCTATAGGTGGCCACATTTACCATCAGCAATACAATATCAAAACATCAGTTTCCAAACTCTCACACAACTCGTGCAGTGTAATCCAAGTCACAATTATCCTGTTGCACGCTCAGTACTTCCCAGACAGCCCTTTTCGTAAAGGAACTCAATGGAAAGAGAAGCTTAATAAATACTCTCTTCAAAACCAGACTACTTTGACAAAAACTGTAATTTTACCTCACTGGACTCTGGAGCTGCTGGTCTACTGCTGCCTTGATCAGATAATTTGTGTGTGATCTTGGTGTTTTAAGAGTTAGTTCAGATTAACCAAAGTCACACATTAACACAACCTAACTGATCGAGGCAGCGGTAGACCAACAGTTCCTGTGTTCAGCGAGGTAAAATTACAGTTTTTGTCAATGTGAGAGAGTATTTATTGAGTTTCACTTTTCATTCAGTTATCCTATGGACAGGGCTGTCTGTACTGTGCATACATCTGGATAAATGAGTGGGTTTGCAAGTTTGTTAGTATGGATGTTCAAGATAACAGTTAAAATCAATAACTGCACTTTAGCAATTCAGTAGACTTATCAGCAGTCTAATGCGATATTAACAACACTCTTCACCTTTCTAGTATTTGTGCACATTTGCATGCATCTGTGTCTTTTAAAGTACCTCTTTTAGGTCTTAACTTGCAGCATTAGTTTGTTAGACATACCATAGGGTGTAAAATTAATAGCAGTTAAACCTCAAATTCATGTCAGCTGCCACACTGACAAAAGGAGCATTGCCCTGTTTGTTGTTCTTGCAGGCTCAATCTAAGATATTTTCTCAACTTCCTTAAATGTATCTGCTTTTCTCATCTGGGATCTCTCAGCCAAGAACAACAAGCAGCTACAGAACGGAAACACATCCATATGCATGCTCACACATAAGCCTAATGCACACACCAGTGGAGACAGGAACACACACAGATGAACACAGACACACAGCAACACTCCTCTTGCTCTCAGTAGCAGGCACATACATTAGCACATGCTTCCATGTGTAATCACCTGGTGCTATCAAAACACCTTTGAAAAGGCATATTCCAGTACCTTGTGCCTGACTTTGAACATGAGCCAAGATAAAACCTCTATTCCTACAGAGGTCTTGAGAAGAACGTCTGGATGCACAAAGACGGAGCAATGATGAATGAATCTTATCACGTGAACCCTTGTCTGCGACTGGTGTAAAGTCCTTTGTAGTATGAGTTGCATCTCCCATCAGTTATATATCATATCTAATCAGTTACAGATGAAAGTGTGGTTTTATGAAGTCTGGATGGTCGCCAGAAGTCGTGTCTATCTCAGGATATTGTTGATTAAACACACACATGTACCAAATGAATGTACCACATCAAGTGAGACCTAGAGATGATGCTGGTTGTAAACGTTTTCACCAATGTTCTGTTCATTAATGTCCCCTGTCACTCTAAATGTTGTTCTTATTTATATCCCACTCACCAAGTTCTGAGGGATGGAGAATTTATGGAAGTGTGTTACATCTGAACCACTTGTTCTTTTTCATTCTTCCCTGCTGCCAACCGCAGTGCCTAACACAGCATGGCTATTAGCAGTGAGGTCAGGAGGAATCAAGCATGCATCTAATTGGGAACAGGTTGAAAGCTACATTTAAAGCGTTGTTTTCACGCTATGAGGAGTTGCACTCTTGACCCTCCAGAACCAAAGGTGCATTATAACATCCAGGTAACATATGTTGCTTAGCAGCGTACTTTCGTCCAGCAAACAAGGTTAAAACACTGCTGGTGAAGTAAATCATGGATATGTCCTTGGATCTGTATGCATCTGAAATAACCCCTACAGTCTGTTTAGAAACACTTTGTTCTCAACTCCAACAAACAAAAAGACCATCAAACTGATAGTGGTCAACTGCTTACCATATGAATCATAAGGGCTGCCACTGGGCAAAGTAGTTCTTATTTTTTAATTCACTAAGATGGCATCTGATCTTCCATAGTCTTTATACCAGTGCCAAACATTTTATCTTGGACCGCAAAGGAAGGCCACAGTGCCCTCATGTGTGACAGGACAGAGGAGTCCAGATTATGGCCTGTAGGTGCTTTGATAGGATGAAGGAGCTGGGTGATTCTCTGAATTCGGTGCACTTTGGGTTCTCTGGTTACTGAAAAAAAATACCACAAATAATTGTGTTTCTGAATATTCCATCTGATGAAGTGAAGGACTATTTGAACCTCTGAGAAAATACGTTTTCCCACCTTAGGCATGAAATCCCAAACATTATTAGGAATTTCTTTGTCAC